GCGTAGTTTATTCGCCACGTAACCATGTTGCCTCTGTAACAGAACCTCTTCCCCGTGATTTTGCTTTCCCTTACAACGTCCGGTGTCCAAAATTTCCACTTCTTTCGTAGCAGAGGCTCGGCAGTATCCCATTCGACAGTTGCAGTCCTTCGAGTATAATTGCAGGCACGTGTTATCCGCGCGCACCAGATTTCGCCTTCACCGGAGGGCGTGCTCAGATTCACGTGAATGTTCTTTCACACTATGAATTCCAATAATATTTCTGTCAACTCAAAGCGAACTGATATACATAAGAAATTATCTGAAAGAATATGAACTACAAATACAGATGTATGAGGAATTGTTTTGGGGAAGCATATCCTATAGTATTCAGACATTTAGATCGCAGAGTCAAATTCTAAATGAAATTAATTTTAACAATTGTAAATATTTCAATCTGGATCCGTTTAACTAATGTAACTGGATAGTGACTTAAAATTATAATTTTATACAATCACTGGACAGTAACAGGCATAGAAAACATGGTTCTTCAGAAAAAAAATATTCAAAAAATTCAACAAAAATATTTTCATAATTTTTCGTGTGTGATTTCATTAATACTTGAAGGTCATCAAGTAAATTTAAAAAAAATGATTTATCATAATTGTCACTTTCAATACTTTCCTTTTATATAGCACAACTATTTTATTTTATTTGTATTGAAATTGTTTCAGATATCTTTGCTCTAAGTTCTATCACACTGTCTCAAGCTATGTGAAAAGAAGTTTTAACTGTCCCCGAGATAAGGATATGTCTGATACCCTCTTTATGAAAAGAACAGCTTCCTATAACTCTAAAACGAAAATGACTAGTTTTCAAATATTGCTAATCTTGTGATTGTTAAAATTTATTTTTCTTTATTTATGTTAAACTTTTACTCATCTTTCAACTATTTATAGTTAAAATGACGGGAAGGGATTTTGGAACTCAAGAAAGCGTGCGCAGATAACCTTTTCCCTCCAACATCACATACAGTTTTTTACTGTTTTTTGACTAAATAAATCTAAATCTAAACAGGAGACAAGGAAAACGAAGTGTGGCACTCTTTCAAAAATGTGGTCCCTAGAAGGAAAAGAAACTTTACTAAAAATATATAACATAATATGGGATAAAAATGTATTTTCTGAACTATGGAGATCAGCTATTGTTATACCTATACCAAAGCCTGGGAAAGAATCCACTAAAAATGAAAATTACAGACCCATCTCTTTAACATGCAATATGTGCAAAATTATGGAAAAAAATATTAAATTAAGACTCAGATGGTTTCTAGACTTTAAAAATATTATATCCAACAATCAATTTGTTTTTAGAACAGGACATTCAACTACCTCCCTCCTAGTAAATATTGACACTTACATCCAAGAAACCCTTGCTAACAAGTAACATGTTTTAGTAGTGAGCCTAGACATTGAAAAAGCTTATGACATGGTCTGAACCCATAGAATAATGACAAAATTACAGGAATATGAACTTAAAGGCAACATTTTTCAATTCATCAAAAATTTCACCAAAGAAAGATTTTTTAATGTGAGAACTAATGGTAGCCTATCACCAGTACAACACCTGGAGAATGGAATTAATGACGCACGCTCTGAAATCAGTCATCCGGTAATCATAAGGAAATCAGTCATCCGGTAATCATAAGGAAGTATGCAGATGACATCACCATTCTCTGCAGAGGAACATCTATTACAGCCAGTCAAGAAATTGTACAATCTGCCCTAAACAATCTATATGAATGGTCTCTCAAATCAGGTTTCAAATTTTCAGCTTCAAAAACTCAATGTATAGTATTCTCCAGACAAAATATGGTGAGTCAGCCCACACTAAAAATGGATCTACATAAGCTAAAATTTGACCAAAATATAAAAATGTTAGCTATGCATTTTGACTCAAAAATGAGCTGGAAAAGACATATTCAAATTTTATCTGAAGAGTGTAAGAAAAGACTAAACATACTTAAGTGAATTTCTTACAATAACTGGAGAGCAGATAAACATATCCAGCTGATGACCTACAAATCAATAGTTCGATCCAAGATTGACTATGGTTCCATATTATATGATTCAGCCAGAAAAAAATATCTTAGAAAACTTGATGTTATACACAATAAAGCTCTGAGAATAAGCACCAGCTGCTTTCATACCAGCCCCATTGGCAGCATCTTAATAGAAGCCAAAGAACCAACCCTAGCTCATCGTAGACAAATGGTAACCCTAAAATATGCCATCTAAACAGCAGAATCAAATAATCCTATTATTTTCCATGATATATACCCAAAATTTCAAAATTACTACAAAGTACAAAAATGCTTTTCACCAGTCTATACCAAAGTTAAAAACCTACTGAGACAGCTAAACTTCAGGAACATATATCAATGGAAAAAAGAAATAATAGTATACCACTATGGACAATCCCTGATATAGTAGCAGATATATCACCAGAAACTCCCCAAATAAACAAAATGGCTATAAAAGATAGAAAAATCATATTTGATGAAATAGAAAATACGTACAAATATTCCTATAAAATATATACCAAAATTATCAATAATAAAGCTGGAAAATATGCAACAACAATTACCAAAGATATTCAAATTACAAGCAGACTGCATCCCTACTCCAGCAATAGTACACCTGAAATATGTTCTATAATGGCAGCCTTCAAAATGTCACAAAAAATCAGAAATACCAATTTTGTCATATTGTCTACTTCTCTTGAAGCAATAAACAATATTCGCAATAATTACCCAGGTCTACCAAAGATAAATAGTATTCATGAAATATATTATGACAATATACAATCTAAAAAGACTCTCACAATTGCTTGGATACCAGATTTTAAAACATTGCCTGAACACAACACAATGAGCCTTGAAGAGGAAAATATAAGCCCTGAAACAGGAAGTATTTTAACATCACACACCTGCAAGGATTTATGGTCACACATCAAAAAAATAATGGATGAAAAGTGGAGCAACATTTGGAAAACCATGAAATCTAGCCCTCTACACAAACAAGTTAAACATGTTTACTCTCTGAAAACTAACAAAAAATTCTCAAGAAAATATCAGGTAACAATAACAAGAATAAGAACTGGTCATTGCAAGTTCAGTCATCAGCACTTGTTAACTGGAAATTCTCCACCCACCTGCCAGCACTGTGATACCCTTCTTAACGTTCAACATATTTCAACTCAATGTCCTATGTTTCAGTACAGCCGACACACATACCTAGAAGGAGAACAAAATCCTGACTTGGTGCTATCGTCCAACGAATACCAAAACCAAATATTAAAATTCTGTAAAGACTGCAATATTCTCAAAGAAATCTAATTGTAAAATGTATACTAGTGTGGATACTGGTAACTAATATTGTAACAAAAAATAACAAATAATGTCTGCCTTCAAATATTTTTATACATACTGTATTATATTGTAAATTTCACATATTAATTATCTTAAGTTGTATTTAAAGTATTCGCTAATGACCACAGCTGTTGATGCGACTATAATAAACTAAAAAAAAGAATGTAGTGCACAAGTTTTGAAGGAATACTAAGAACCCTGACAACACAACCAATGTACAACGCACGCTGGCTGCGTATGAAGCTCAGGGAATGCTAGATGAGCTTAAAAGTTCATTTTTAACAGACCTATATTGACTATTTTCCTGAAACTGTGGGAGACAATCACGAAGGACAGGTGAAAGATTGAATCAGAAAGTCCGTAATTTTGAGAAAAGTTTCCAAGGAATATGGGATATCAGTATGTTAGCTGCCTACCGTTGGATTCTCAATCAAGAAACCAAAGAAGGAAACTAAACGAATTTGGCGAAGCATCAAAGAAAAAAAGAAAAGGTTTCACAAGAAATAAGAGTAGACCTGAAACTGAATTAATATCAGAAACAAGTTTTTGATTATTTGTATGAAAATAAATATATTTAGTTTACTATAAAAATAAGTGTTTTTATTGAATATTTATTTTTATTTTGCAAATTGTATACACGTGATAGAATATTCTGAAAATCACTTAAAATATGTGACATTTAAAACATATAATTCAGCAAAAGTACCCTAAAATAATTTTTTTTGCAAATCAGTGACAATTAAAGATCACAAACCTAGAGGAAAGAGAGATGTTGGAAAACTTTTGAAAAGTTGGCAAGGACTCTTATGCCGGAGCTGGCATTACCTATACCGTGCAGTGAAGGAGGAGAAGAAAAAGAGGAGGAAGAAGAATATAAAACAATGCATTACACGCATACTATAAGTACTCTCAAAAGTAATATCACGAATGGTGTAGAAATAAATTATAAATTTGCTATGATATATTGTTACTTTTCAAATCACACGTAATACTCGGTGCGCATATTTCGCATATTTGTATTTTAATTATTTGTATATTATATTTAATACATGTTTCAGGCATTAACATAAATAAATTCCAAACTTTACACCACAAATTTATATATTAGAAAAATACCACGCCCTACGGAAGTAATTGATCAACAATACATGCAGAAATAAATATGAAGTCCGAAAAATAGTATTTCATAGTCTACTGGCCTCACTATTTCACCAATAATTACAATTCACCTTCCATACATAACCTCATAATTTTGATGACATGGCAAAAATACTACACATAAAACCAGAATAAAAACTGTAACTACATGCTTTCAGTCGAGTAAAATGCTTCCATTCGAAGATAAGAAAACATCATAAAACTAACAAACTTACTACACAGCAAAGATATTCTCATAGCAACATTTTGTGTTACACATGTGTAACAATTACGTAAAATTATAATAATTATACCTGAATCAAAAGTAAGTAAAAATTGAACATACTAAACTGGATAGTTTTCAGTTGAAAAACATTTGTCATTCATCAATGCAGATAATAAATTGCAAATTTTTACCTGCATTCAGAGCTCTTTCATGTTGAATCCTTCATACCAGCATTGTGATGACTGCTGCCGCATCTCTGATAACTGTTTGCTGCGTAATGTGTAAACCATATCTTGCTGTTGCCATTGTGTTCCATATTCATTTAGATGTATTTGTGGGCAGGGTAGAATGTGTGGAATTTATTGAGTAAGCACTTGTTATGCGTTAATTGTTTCGTTTGGTTTCATTACTGCAGCCACTTCATGTTAACGTGATTGAAAAGATTCAATTCCTTTCCAATTTGTCCCGCAATGTGGAATTTGTTTTTCATGACATGAAAGCACATAATTAACTAGAAAGTACTGAACACAAGTGATGAAATAAAATGCATATTACGCAGAAACGTTCTAGCACATTTCACTGTCACTGAATCACTCCAAAATCCAGGAAGCAAGTAGCAGGCACGTCCGTTCGCAACAGCGGCCTAAAGCAAACTGAAATCCAATACCACCACTCCTTTCCAAACTGCTATCAGATTAAACAAAATTCACTTTGCCAATAAGGTAAATCAAAAAATTAAAGAATGTTGCAAACAATTATGATTTTCCAAAGCAAGAGTAATATTTCTTAAGACTATTTCACGAGTGCCATTTCATAAATAGAAGAAAATGGAGAAAAAGAAAGAGAAGTTGTAGAATAAGAAGAACAATAAGGCGAAGAAGGATAAAAAAGAGAGTAAAATTGATGTCAACGAAGAAGATGAAAGAGAAAAAGAGAAGGGAGAAAAAAGACAAAAAGAAGAAAAATCACTGTGTCGGATAGTCTTCATAGTAAATATAAAAATTATAGTATAAGGTATCATTGTAGATAAAACAACAGATATGGAAATGAAAAAAATGATTAATTTTCATGTAGATTTCTCATTGGCTTGTGTACTTCGAATAACTTCATTTAAATTAACGAGTACAATTATATTTTTACAACTTTGTAAAGTTGATCACTTCAGGGTTTAAAATATAAATCTCATATATTGCACGGATTTAATAGTTTTCCGCGACCGAAAGAGCATTTGTCGAGGCTTTCTGCTACGTTCTCTGACCCCTCTCTTTGTAGTCCCAGAATCGTTGGGCTGACCTCGCTTTCACGACTCGTAGCCGCGCGTGTTGTAAATTTGCCGAGCGCAGGTCCTGACATTGATCTTGTCTAAGGTCAAAACGCCAGGAAGTGTTGTTATTCGCCCTGTGCTTGGATCTTGGGTAACGGACGACAGTAGTGGCTACTTCAAGCACAGATTTTGAAAGATAGACATTGGAGGTTTGCCACATACTTCTAACTTGCAGAATTTGGAACTTACGCTTTCCAGCGGTGACAATTAGATAATTGATCTCTCTTTCCTTATTTTATTTTTGAAAGCAAGCTGCTAACATCTACACGTCAATAATGTGACATGAACTACTATGTTTTTTGTTTTAATTTTTTGCCCTCAAACAGGATCGAGCGGTTGAATGACAAATTGTCATTACTACGACGAGGGTCTGTTTACGACTAAAATTTTTCAATTTACTAGTAGTCACAACTGAAACAAAATCGAGGTTAGAACGTAAATAAATCAAAAATAAATTAAAGTTTTGCCATTTTAAGCAAGAGGTTTATTCAAAACTATGCTAATTACCCATTGAGATTCACACAACCAATTTGGTACTGTAGCCGAAGAATGTTGAGACAGCTGCGAAAATGTTCTTAACTGTGACCACTATTAGTGTTTTATCCTACGATTTAAGTACAAAACGGAAATATTCATAAGTTATCTGAAGTAAACACCGGCATCCATTTTCTTGTCCGAACTAATTCGACCTGTTAAAATGTTTCCTGTTGGAAACATAGTTTAAAAGAAAATTAAATATAAAAATATAGCATATCAAAGAAATCGGAAACAAAACACCGAAACAGAGGCCAACAAAATTGTGAAAATTAGCAAGTCTGTTCACGAAACTGATCGTACGAACTGGCTCGCGGTCTCGAGCCATGGCACGCGCGAGGAGAATGGGCGGGGTCCGAAGGGGGAGGGGGAAGGGATAGCTGTGAGTGGAAGAGAGTCGAAGAGCGAATAAATATATAGACGGCGTGCATTTTTCAATTAACGACAATAGTAACTATAAATAAATTAGAGAAATTCCTGTTATATTGATAAAACGTATTTAAATAAGGTAAATTAAAGATGGCGTCAGGTATAAAAAAATATTTTTTTGCTAAAGATCGTTTCGATCGTGTAGCGATCATCCTCAGAGATAAAATTATGAATTACGGAAATGAAATTACATTAATACATGAATTCTAAATGAATAATACCTGAGTAGGGAGTACCTGAGTTATAAAATTCAGATACTGAACGTCTCTTAAATACTCGGGTAAGAGGTGGGAACCGACGGAAATTTCATCCACAATATATACCCAACCTACACAGTTACAGAGAATCACTCTTGGTGAGCAACGTGAAATGCAGCATGTGAATTTTTCTCGGCCCACAAATGCAAATTATGCGCATTAATTGTTCTAATTCGTTTAAAACACGCTTCATCTAAACAAATCAGAAATCAGCTTTCAGAAATCCCTGGTTTTCCTTGCATTTGCGCAGGAAATGCCTCGAGAATTCAGAACGACCGACGTAAGTCTCTACTGCGCAAATGCTGCGCCACCAGCTGGAAATGGAAAGGTCGAAATCTCTCTGCATGAATTGTTTGCCAAGTGACTGTGATGCGTTGATCTCGCGCACTATTTGTCTCGCGCTCGATTTCGCGCTTTAGCGGATAGTATTAATAACCGAGTTTTCCAGAGAAGTGGCGAGCCTTAACGCAAAGCGCAGCCGCTCGCTCACTTGCCGTAGCCCGTGTTTCACGAACACCAGCACGTGGTCTGAAGTTTGACGTTAATTATTTACAAAACTAATCGACGAAAAGTATGCAATTTTGGCAAGTTCAGTCTATTCATTATATATGGGATATGTCCTTGGCGTATTAGCAACGAGTACTGAATCACTCTGTATATCAATTATCCTAATAAATTGCCTATAACAAATATCCTAATCTGAGTAAGAAAGACATTACAGCTCGCTGTATTGCAGTGCGGTGAAGGGAAGTGTGGTGAAGTGGAGTTCTATGTAAGATTGCACGGTCAAATATTCATGTTCATTTGTAAAGTTTGTAGATTTTGTATAGTTGTTAAGTTCTGTAATGTTAAGTTAGTGTATTCTGCCACCACCTTCTCGCACTTAATTGCAGAACTATTAATAAATCTAATCTAATCTAACCTAATAAATTAAAATTTAAAAACACAGTACTATCACAATCCGTTGCATCGCGTCAGTACGATTCCTTGGTTGGAATTTGTTCTCGTCATCCCAGAAAAGAGTTGCTCGTTTATGTACGTGGAGTCGAACATGAACATAACTTCGGCTATACATTTGTGAAGACAAGAAGTTTGCTATCGCTTTCAATGCAAAGTCTATTACGACACCGATGTCCCAGTCGTCGCTGGTTGTTTATGATGTCAAGCTACGTCTTCTACCTGTCCTCAAGGTCTCAACGCAATCGCTCCTTTTCTTGCTCGCGGGAACAGCGCAGACGTGAAATAAAACTAAGCATTTTCTTCCTCATTTCTTCAAAGATTTTTCGCCAACCGTACATGTGGTTTCTTAAACTATATCGGAAACTTTGCTTTGTTTCATATACATAACAATTAATAACGTAACGTTCACAATGATTCAAAACTATTAAAATCCTTTTATTTTATATTTAATGTAGTTTTCTGTTTTTAAGGTGATGTTGTGTCGTGCAGGCACATAAACTTGTGAGAATTATGTTGAGTGTACAATTCAACGAGACGAAGAATGTAATTTAAATCCTAATGTCTACGCGGAATGTTAGTTACAATACATAGTCACAATTTTAATTAGTTTATTGGAATTAAAAAAGGTGTACGTGCAAAACTAAAAAAGATCTGTCGCAGTCAATCACGTTTTCAGTAACATTCTCTAACTCTCAGCGTAGAAAACCATTGATCACGAAAAAAAAGATCATGACATTTATTGACATAAGCAATACTAAAATATCGTACTCTACGTCGTATTCTGCCTATTTTGTAATGCTGATTGGATGAAATATCATCTTACGACGGTCTCTCGCTGCAATACGGATGACTGCTGACTTGACTACGTATGTACAGTATCAGTTGTTTTCATCATGTGTTACTACGGACTGAGAACAGTTTAAACTTACATTTCTACCTCATATTTTAAGAAAACGTGTATTGGACTCACTCATGACAAAGCCAATTGGGCCGGCCTGTACAGCTGAAGTCGCTAAGGCAGGAGAATCGTGGATGCCCCGGCTCGAAAGGTGACGGTTTCAAATCCTGCCCCGGGCATGGATGTTTGTGTGTGAGCTCGTGTTTTATGTATTCCACTTACAGTTTCCACAATGTTAAAAATCAGAGTGGTCCAAGTAGTTAAAAAGCGATCTTAAATTTAAAAAAATTAAAAAATGCAACTCAAGGTATACTTGGCGACTACGAACAACAATTTTATGTTCTCAAATGACATTAAACACAATACACAAAGCTGAAAAATCTCTCAAAAAAATACAATGATTAAATATATAAACTATACTTATTGATATAATAAATACTAGTAAGTGGGAGTAAAATGAAACATTTTTAATGATCGCAACATGAAAGAAAGTATTAATAGTACCACAAACCATATACCATGTATTAATAGTACCAAATCATACCACAAACTTCAATGAAAGATTCCTTGTTTTTCTAGTATATAATTATATTTCATTTTATTTTATTATTAGAGAATATTTAAATATAAATTAATAAAAAGAAATGCTCAACTAGAATGTTATTCATAAAATGTTAGTTTGCCATATTGAGGTAACACTGAAAAACAATAGATGCTATTAATTAAAGATGAAAATTAGTGAAATGTAATTAATCTATTTGAAATTACATTATGTTTCAATGGTGTAATTCTGTAATGAAGTCTTCATTAGTGAACGAAATCATTTATATACAATTAACACATTCCAATCTGATAAACTACAGTCTAATTACGAACTCATGAATTTTATTTAATAAATAATACA